GGGCTCGATCCCAGGACCCTGGGATCATGACCTGAGCCGAAGGCAGACGCTTAATGACTGAGCCACCCAGGTGCCCCTTCCCAGCACCATTTTTTGAGAGGACTGCACAATGGGTAAAACCTTTTCCCCCTTGAGTGGTCTCCCCACCCTTGTTGAAAATCACTTGACCATATTCTATTCCATCGGTCTTAAGTTTGTCTTTACGGCACTACCACACTCTTGGTTACTGTAGCTTTGTAGCATGTTTTGAAATCCTCTAACTTTGTTTTCCTTTTCAAGATTGTTTTGGCTCTTTGGGGTCCCTTGAGAGTCCAGGGGAATTTTAGGATGGGGTTTTTCTATTTCTATTGAAAATGTCATTGGGATTTTGAGAGGGATTACATTGAATCTGTAAATCACATTGGATAGTATTGATATATCCATATTAGGTCTTCTGGTCCATGAATACTTTGTCTTTCCATTTATTTGTGTCTCTTTTTTTACTTCTTTTATCACATTTTGTAGTTTTTAGTGTATGTATTTCATCTTTTGGCTTAACTTTATTCCTAAGTGTTTTATTCTTTTTGATGGTATTGTAAATGGAATTGTTTTCTAAATTTCTGTTTTTGGATAGTTTATTGTAAGTGCACAAGATGCGACTGATTTTTGTATGTTGATTTTGTATGCTACAAGTTTGCTGAATTTATTAGCTGTAACAGATTTTTTATGGAATATTTATTCCTATAGAAAATATATTTCTACATATAAGATCATGCCATTGCAAACAAATATTTTTTCTTTCTAGTTTGGATGCCTTTATTTCTTTTTCTTGCCCAGTTGCTCTGGTTAGGGCCTCAATACTTTTTTTGAACAAAAGTAGCAAAATCCTTGCCTAGTTCCTTATTCTAAGGGAAAAACTTTCAATCTTTCCATCATTGAGTGTGATGTTAGCTGTGGGTTTTTCATACATGGGCTTTATCACTTTGAAGAAGTCTCCTTCAATTCCTGGTTGGAGTGTTCTCTCATGAAAGGGTGTCGTTTTATCAAATGTCTTCTCTACATCACCTGAGAATTTCTTGTGTTTTTTTCCTTTGTTCTACCAATGTGTTGTGTATTATATTGATTAATTTTCATATGTTGAACCATCTTTGCATTCTGGGTAAACTGGCCTTGATTGCAGTGTGTAACCCTATTAATGCACTGTCATATTTGGTTTCCTAGTATTTTGTTGAGGATTTTTTTTTTAAAGATTATTTATTTATTTATTTATTTATTAGAGAGTGAGCAGGAGAGAAACAGCATGAGAGGGGAGAGGGTCAGAGGGAGAAGCAGCCTCCCCGCCGAGCCGGGAGCCCGATGTGGGACTCGATCCCAGGACCCTGGGATCATGACCTGAGCCGAAGGCAGTCGCTTAACCAACTGAGCCACCCAGGCGCCCCACTTGTTGAGGATTTTTAATATCTGTATTCATGAGAGATACTTGCCTGTAGTTTGCTTCTCTTGTAGTCCTTTTATTATAGTTTGAATAGCGGTTTGTCTTGCAGGTGGAGGCAGTCTCTGATAAGTGGGAAGATGACAGCAAAAACCATGGCAGAGGGCTGTCCGACTCCAGCCCCCGAGTGCTGATTGGCTGTGTGACTTCGCTGATGGAGGGTGCTGGCTACATCAGTCAGACCACATACTTCTCTCTGAAGAGTGTTTGCGAAGGTATGTTAGATGGGTTTCTGCTCACATTTGAGGTGAGGTTTTGTGTATTTTTTTTAATTTTATGAATTAGCTTTGAGATGGTTACACACATTGAAAGGGCCAAATTTGAGCATGCTTTGTTTTTTGAGAAGGTTTCGGACTAGAATGCCTTCACCAGGTGTTGGCTCCAAGCAGTAGACGGTGTAGACTGCTGTGGTTCGTTTTGTGTCATTCGTTGAATGGAGTCACTAATTTCTGGGTAAATGTTCCTTTTATGTAAGTATTGTTACTGATCTAAGTCAACAGTGTCACAGATGTGTAAGGCAACTGCTGTTTTTACAGTACTTCAAATGTTTTAAAAGAGGACTTGGGGATAACTTTGTCCTTCCCACGAATGTATATCCGTTTTTTATTGCGTTTGTTTTTAGCTATCTAAAATTTTGTTTTTATGCCTAAATATATAATTTGTTAATGCCATTCTTGAGTTTAACTCAACAACCATTTGTTGTGTACCTGCTGTCTACAGTGATGGGTAGGGAGCTAGGTAGTAGGAGACCAGGATGAGTAAGACCCTAGATCTCCCTCCCAAGGAGAAACAGACCTGTACTTGCCTTGGAATCGGGCAGGATTGGAAAAGCTGCATGGGTGAGGTACTTCTTGAGCTGAATTCCAGCTGCTCACCCTGCCAGCCACACGTGGGCGGGGGAGCCGCGATTCTCTCCCACCTTGGCTGCCAGGGAGCCCAGTGCAGGAGGGCGATTAGCTCAGCCCACCCGGCCACTTGCTGTTCTACGTTTCTTAGATGTAAAAGCCAGGACTCTGACCTTGATTGCTAACCCTGGAAGTTTCCAGAATGAAATTGACAGGTGGCTGGGATTTTAAAAACTCCGTTCGGTCAGAAAACTCTCAATTCTGGAAAAACAGATCGTGCAGTTGCTCCAAAGGGAATCCCTCGGTCCCTGTAACTGCTGACAGGAAGTGACTCCCGGACAGGGACATGGTTCGTGCCGCAGACACTGCTGAGGTGCAGAAGTAGTTGACCGTGAGGACTGGTACCTGAACACAGGTGGAGGATTTCCAGCACAGTCTCAAGTCTTCTTGAGCTGAGAGGGTCCAGATAGCTGACAGCCTGACATCCACAGCAAAAAGAACGTTCTTGAAAGAGAAAACACGGTGTGGAAAAAGGTAACGGGAGTCCAAAACGAAGGCCACCGACCTTTTCTGAGACAGGCCAGATTGTAAAGCTTGTGGGGCCCATGGTCTCTCGCAGCTCTTTAACCTCTGGGCTGGTGGTAGCGTGAGCACAGCCATCAGTGGCACTGAGGCAGAGAGGTGTGGCTGTGTCCCTGTCAGACTGTATGTACGGAGACAGGCGGCAGCGTACCACTGCACGTCTCTGACTGGAAGATGAGAAGAGGAAGAACTGGGCTAGGTGTTTCCTTTACTTCAGGGAGAGCCAGACCGTACCGTTTCTTTCTTGGCATCGATTCAGCAAATACTGGAAGGCCTTGCCCGGGGCCTGTCGCTGTCCTGTAGAATGTGCTCTAATGGGAGGGAGAGCAGCAGGCCAGGGTCTTCTGCTGTGCCGGAACAGTGCAATGTGGCACGGCGGGAGGTGGGCCAGGCGGGGGTTCCTCTAGGGCTGGTAAGGCCCAGTCTCCCCGCGTGCAGGCGGACCAAGGGCTCTGTGAGGAGGTCCAGGTGAAGCACAGGTTGTGTTCTGACCCTTCCAGGGTGACCCGCGTGAGTCTGGCTCAGCTGTGCATGGGAGGTGAGCAAGCTCTGACTGTTTTAGGAAGGGGTGGAGAGGAGACCGCCACTGTCAGAACACGAGGTGGGGGTGTGACCCTGACCTCTCTCCCCTCTCTTCTGCCAATCGGTGGGTGCTCTCCTGAGGCTAATCCCAACCAGAAGCCAGAGGGCAAGGCTGGGTGGTCCATACTGGGGGCAGAGTGGGGGGGATGTAGAAAGGCATCAGAGACTGTCCAGTTCCAAAGGCTGAAGAACTCTGGCAACGGGACAGGGTGTCGGAGGGCTGGGCTTCGACCCGGGAAGGAGGGACCAGCTGCTGGGTAGAGGTTTTCAGACAGAAAATCTGCAGACCTCAGGGATGCAGGCAGAGGAAGAGCAGGGCCCGAAGTGGCCCCCTGATCACTAAGGTGCACCCCGACACAGGGCACAGCACTCTGTCCCAGGAGTGGCACAGGTTCTTGGGCCTGGTGAAAGGGCTCAGGGAAGATTCACAACACCTGCTCTTTATCTCACAGGTGGGTCCACAAACCAGTTTCATCTGCTAAGAAGGAAATAACCTGACTTGTGACGCAGGCTGGGAGCTCGGGCCACACTGGTTACGTGGATGTGTAGATGCTACAGGGCTATCCACGGCTCACCCTGGAAAGAAAGAGGAAAGAAGCAAGTTCGTCGTACACTCAGACTCTAGACCCCGCTCTTAGGCCAGTGATTCCTACCCAGGGCCATTCTGTCTCCCAAGCCATGTTTGCAGACATTCTGGGTTCTCACAACTGGGGGATGGGATGGTGGTTAGTGGGTAGGGGTCAGGGATGCTGCTAAACACATCCCACAATCCACAGGGCAGCTACCACAATGGAATGGGCAGCCTCAAATGTCACAGGGCAGAGCACGAGAAAGCCTGCTTTAGGCTGAATGCCCAATTCCATTTTAGCAGCCTTGGCCAAAACGGTTAAGGAATCACTGGATATTCACGTGTAAAACAGCTTGGGCTCTGCTACTGATGTTAAGAATTCTCATGAGTAGGGAGGAGGGCGCCTTACTGGCTCAGTGGGTAGACATGTGACTCTTGATCTTGGGGTTGTGAGTTCAAGCCCCATGCTGGGGACTGGGGGTAGAGTTTACTTAAAAAAAACAAAAAACAAAAAAACCTCCCCAAAAACAAACAAAACAAAACTTGAAAAACAGAAAAAGAATTCCCATGAGTGTTATTTGTGGGCCTAGATCTGAAGTGTCATCCACAGAACTGGGCTGATGGCCACCACTGCCTCTACAGTCTGAGACTGAGGGGACTCTGTGATCCTGAGACCTCACCTCCCACCTTCACACTCTTCAATATTCACAGGCTCACAGCAGTCCCTGGTGACACCCCTCCTTCTGGTCCCTCCTTCCCGGGTCGAAGCCCAGCCCTCCGACACCCTGTCCCGTTGCCGGAGTTCTTCAGCCTTTGGAACTGGACGGTCTCTGATGCCTTTCTACATCCCCCCCACTCTGCCTCCAGGCCTGCCCAGTATGGACCACCCAGCCTTGCCCTCTGGCTTCTGGTTGGGATTAGCCTCAGGAGAGCACCCACCGATTGGCAGAAGAGAGGGGAGAGAGGTCAGGGTCACACCCCCACCTTGTGTTCTGACAGTGGCTGTCTCCTCTCCCATGGCCAGAGCTATAGCCGGGTGACCATGTCAGTGTCCAGACTGGTACACACTGAGAAGTGGGAAGGGGTGTGAAAATGAATTAAGTCATTTTTTAAACACTTGCATATCGATGAACAAATTGATTTTACTGTATTGGCAGACCTTTAAAGTAGCATTATTCAGAAACTGTTCGCAAAACAATTTTTTTTTAGAAAAAGAATACTTGGGCCCATTAAAACAACTTAATATTATTCAGTCATTATATTCTTGACACATAATAACATATTTTAATTTTTCAGCATTTCTAATAGCATGTCACTGGTATTCTAAAAAACATACATTGGGGTTCATGCGTGGCTCGGTTGGTTAAGCGTCCAACTTGATTTCGGCTCAGTTCATGATCTCAGGGTTGTGAGATCCAGCCCTGCTTAACTGGGCTCCACACTCAGCTCAGCGGGGAGTCTGGTTGAGATTTTCTCTCTCCCTTTCCCTCTGCCCCAACCCCCCGCCATGTGCATGCCTTCTCTCTTTTGCTCTCTCTCAAACCAGTAAATAAATAAAACCTTAATATTTAAAAAAATAAAATTAAAACAAATTTTTTAGTATCTTAATTTCATTTTTTTTTTATACAGTGGCTTGGAATCTTCGTCAAAGCTGCATATTTTATGGTTGATGAATTTGAAACTGAAACTTTTGATTGGCTCTCCTTGTAGGCTATAACATTTTTAATTGAGGAAATATTAGTAAGCTCAGAGCAAACTCTACTAAATTCTTAAGTCCAGTATTTTTCTTTTTTTTTTTTTAAAGATTTTATTTGACAGAGACAGCGAGAGAGGGAACACAAGCAGGGCGAGTGGGAGAGGGAGAAGCAGGCTTCCCGCAGAGCAGGGAGCCCGATGCGGGGCTCGATCCCAGGACCCTGGGACCATGACCTGAGCTGAAGGCAGATGCTTAATGGCTGAGCCACCCAGGTGCCCCAAGTCCGGTATTTTTCTATTGAGACATGTAACTATGTCAGCCCAAATGTTTTTACAGGTACTATTTGTTTGCCTCTCTGAGCGTAAAGGTGATCAAATGCTAACATCAACTAAAACTTGTCAAATAAGTTGTCTTATTTTTTTTAATGTTACATCAAATGTGGATGCTGTAAATTTATGTCTGGTCCATTTCAATCATTCCCTTACAGAATATCCATTTATCCAGTTAAATATCGAGGGCTTTGTTGGAAGACTTGGTGCAAGCTGGGATAGTGTGGGGTCCAGTCATACCACTTCAGCTTTAAGCCATGTGCGCCGTACAGGCCTCCTGGGGCCTCATGGCTTCGTTTCCTCTGTTGCTTTGGTGGAGAGCAGTGTCACTGTCTTCCTGTTTACAAGCTGTATATTCAGTGGCTGCAATTTATTTTTTAAAGGTTTTATTTCTTTATTTGAGAGACAGAGCACGCACATGTGAGAGAGAGCAGGAGCAGGGGGGAGGGGCAGAGGGAGAAGCAGGCTCCCCGCTGAGCAGGGAGCCCGACGCGGGGCTCGACCCCAGGACCCCGGGATCCTGACCTGAGCCGAAGGCAGACGCTTAACGACGGAGCCACCCAGGTGCCCCTGAGTCCATGATACTGATGGGGAAAAAAAATCAAACTATTATTTCAGTTTGCTTCACTGTTTTTCTCCTTGAAATAACTGTTTATACAACTAACACACTGCTTCATTTTTCACGTGTATCTGAAGAGATTTGGACTAAAAAATTAGCAGAATTATGTTAAATATTTGATAAAGTCATGGTTTATAAGTCAACATACAAATGTGTCCTACAGCCTGTTGAATTGTGCTCCCGGGCCTGTCCTCTTAAAATGCCACCTTACCCAGAAGTCGGTGCTCCAGCAGGTTTGTCTCTCCTGGATTCACGCCACTGGTGTGGGGGTACCGCTGTGGCCCTCGTGCTGATCAGTAGCTGTCAGGTGTTCGGGCTCTTAGGGGTTTATCACCAGCTTTCTTGAGAAGCAAACTCAGTTCTAAATTACACGCTTTTGGGTTTTGTTTATGTATTTTTTTTTTATTTTATTAGAGTGCTTGTGTGCGGTGGGGAGGGGCAGAGTTTGGAAAGTGAGCGGGAATCCCAAGCCTGACTCGGGGCCTCCATCCCACGACCCTGAGATCATGGCTTGAGCTGAAATCAAGAGTCGGACACAGCCGACTGAGCCGCCCAGGCGTCCCTGCACTTCTATTTTTGAACTGATTGCTGTCAAAAGTATTTGTTGCAAAATGACAGAAAGGTTATAACAGGTTTAGCGTCACGCCGTGCGCCGTAGCAGACCCGCTCAGGCTGTGCTCCCTGTGTTACTGACGCATGGTCAAGCCACTGCGTGCCGCTGAACCTGTCGTTGCCCAGCAGTCCCGCCCACCCTGCCGTGGTGGCCCGGGGCACCTTGCATCCTGCGGGGGCCGCAGTACAGCTGCCTGGCACACCCGGGGTCCGGCAGGGGCACTGAGTGCTCCCCCACCTGGGCTGGCATAGACACCCCAGCTCTCAGGTCGGAGTGCACTGCGCTTTGCCACCAAGTACCCTGTGTGTTCCCGATAGGGAGGAGCACTCACACTGTTCCTGCAAAGAGTTGACAGAGAGGAGTGCCCGTGTATTAGAGAAACTGTCCGCCACACTTGAGCCACACGCCCTAGAGGCTGGAGACTAAGAGATTTGCTGTTCAGCTTATTTGGTTGCAGTTAATAATAATACTTACGAAAAACATGGGGAACATTTGAAACCAGAGGGGATCCTGAAACTGTGCAAACCAGGTGTATGACCATGCAGGCTGCAGTCCTCTTGGCTCCCTGCCTTTGCCTGGTGGGCAGGAGAGGGTAAGGCTGCAGAAAGGTGGGTCTGTAACATCCTCTGCTCCATTCAACTGGGGAAACCCAGGAGAGAGCTAAGATTGAAAACGGGTTTCTTAGGTAGAACAGAAATGTATCATAACTTCAGAATGAATTGTACACTTTGGTATAACCAACATTACCAAGTAAGCACCATGGTTTCCCTGCTTGGAGGTTTCGAGCCCTGCAAGGGAGACTGGGTGGAGGCGGAGTACTGGATCCGGCCGGGCACGTGGAACAGCGAGGCCATCTCAGTGAAGCCCCTGAGGTACAAGCGCGTGGACAGGGTAGGTGCTGGCCCTCGCTTGTCCTTGTCTTCCTGTCTTTTCACAGCCCAGGCTTCTCCTGGGTGCGTTGGGAAGTCAAGCTGTTTCCTCGCTGAGAACGCTGGTTTTCTTAAGGAGATCTCCATTCTTAAGGAGATCGCCTGGCATGCTCGTACAATGCAATCCTAGGTGCTGTAGTTTAACAGAATGTGGAAACGTTCTCACTGCTGGGACGAGGGGGTGGGTGAAGGGCTGGAGCTCGCCTGTAAAGGCTGGTGCACTCTGGCGTTGGAGACTGGAGTTTTCACAGAGTGAGGGTGTGTGCTGGGCTGGGACGGAGACACGGGGAGTGAGCCCGGGCCACCGGACACGCTCTCACTCCACGACCTCAGCCTTGGCTCTGAGGGCCTTACACGTTCATGAACTCGTCGGGGCTTTGCTTCTCCAAGACCAGGGTCCCCGCTCCCCCTAGAGGTTGGACTTGGTCTGCAGTGGGGCCCAGGTGAGGTGGAGGCCAGCCCTCGTTGGGCTGGTTTGGAGAGGCCGGCCCCTGGGGCGGCACACATTTACAGTCCATTACTGTGTTTGCAGGTCTGCATTTCTAGCCTCTGCGGGAGAAACGGGGTGATAGATGACAGCATCTTTTTCACCTTGGACTCTCTGAGACTCGCTGAAGGATATGTGCCTCGAAGACATGACGTGGTCAGTGCCGTGGTGGTGGAGAGCAGCCAGTCATGCTATGTCTGGAGAGCCCTATGCATAACCCCAGTGAAAAGACGGTAATGAGGAAACGGCTCTCTTTGGGAAGGGAGAGGCCCAACTGAAGTGTGCTTTAAGAGCTGCTTTAATAAGCTCAAATAATAGCCTGTCCGAATCCTGAGCTGGGCAGTTAAAGGGAAAGTATCTTCTGGAAGGTTTTCAGTGATCTTTGTGGTTGATTAAAGTTCTAGTTAACAGTTCCTTCTTAATCCTTAATCTTATACTGGCAATTTTCACATTTTGATGGGGTTTTATAGCTTTTGTTCTTTTTTCACATGTTGGTATTTTTTAGAACATGTTGGACATAGTAGGTTCTTAATTTTTTTTAAGATTTATTTATTTTGGGGGGGGGTAGAGGGAGAGGGAAAGAGAGTCCCAAGCAGATTCCACACAGAGAGCGGAGCCTGATGCAAGGCTCAGTCTCATGACCCTGCGATCAGGACCTGAGCCAAAACCAAGAGTCAGACGTTTAACGGACTGAGCCACTCAGGCGCCCCTTAGAATCGTTGAATCTCTCATATCCACATTCTTCATTCTGTGCCCCAGCAAACTCGCACCTTGTCCACACATGTTTATAAGGCACCACGGGGCCCTCCCTGAGCTTTCCATGTAAATGGCAACCCTGCCCTGCCTCGGCTCCCTTCCTTGGCCTGCTTTTTCTCCTTAGCACGTCCCTCCAGTGAGCTTACTGTACGTTCTCCTCAGTTATTCTCTATATCCTCGGATCACCTGGAATGCAGGTTCCGTGCAGGGAGTTTGTGTCCTGTTTCCCTCTACACACTGAGCACTTGCCTTGGTGTCTTTCTTTGTGCCCCTGGGGGCGTGCCTGTGGGGTCTGTCGGGAGCGGCACAGTGGGGAGCACCACTGGTTTATAGACAGACTCAAGAGGACGGAACCCTGGCTCAAGGCTGTGGAGGTGTGTGGGGTGGGGAGCTGTGCCCCTGTCCCAGCCAGCAGACGCCCTCATCCTTGGCCACTCAGTGCCCAGTTGCCCTGCCCCACAGGACCCTGCTCTGGTGTTGGAGAATGACTGTCCCATCTGTGGGGCAGTGAAGCCAGATACATGGCCCTTACCCCCTCTCACCACCCACGACGGTCTGGCAGGAACAGGAGGTCTGGTTTTAGCTCCATCTGATGGACTCAGTGGTGTGAGCATGAGACAAGGCAGGAGCTCATTGCCCGGTGTCTGTGCTGCAGGAGTAGCGTGGCTCCTCCCTGTGTCTGAACCAGGCTCTTGGGCGTCCCGCTCGTTCTGTCATCTTCCTGGTAGTGAGCAGCCAGAAGCCCTGGGACAGAAGCCGGGAGGCCCGCTTCCCACATTAGGCTTCATAGTCACTGGGAGCCACATGCCCAGTTTAAGGAAACCCCTATGCCAGGAAAACATGAGCTTCCTTGACTCTTCATACCCCGCAGTTACCTGCGCTCCTGATTGCCATGGGCACCGGAGGGTGGCGGCCAGTCCTGCCCATCACTGACCATCAGAGAGAAACTAGTTGTCATTTCAGGCTTCAGGGCCAAGTGTATTCCTTGGAATGACTTATCGTTTGTCTCCAATTCTAGATTCTTACTGTCTAGTCTGTTGTGTTTTATAAGCACTTTTTCACACGCTCTGTGGCTTTTCAGTTTGTTATGTCTTCGAGAGGAGTAGTGGCTCAGAGCAGATGTGGACCAGCATCTGTTGAATGGGTGGGGGCACGACCAGTGGGCTCCCTCGCTGTGGGTGGTCAGTTTCTGGGGAGCCTCCTCAGGTGGCCCCTGGGCTGATGTAGGTCTGGGGTGGGGGGCTGATTCTCCTTGGGGAGGGGTCACTCCGATCCCAGGCACGTTGCATGAAGCTTCTCCCTTGACTGCCTCCAGTAGTCATCTTCATAGGCAAGGGAAATTTTTCCACCTTCATCGCTGGATGCTGGCTGAGAGCCAGCCCCAAATCCTGTGACTTCAGAATCCCTCATAATGTCCTAATTAGAGTGGGGGATTAGAGGGTGAGTGGTGGATGAAGGGAATGTGCTGGGTCCCGGGGAACTCCCAGCCTGTGAGCGGTCAGTTCCCCTTTCCTGAATTTATAGTGGAAACGAATGTCCCGCCCTTCAGCAGAAGCCCAGCAGATGCCCTCTATGTGCCTAGCCCCGTTCTAGCCCCAGGAGTACTGCCTTGGACAAAGAAGAGCCGTGTTTCTGCCCTGGGAGAGCTTATGTGCTGTCACCCCACTCAGGCTTCCTGATCCCTAAGGGGAGGCTGTGAGCGGCAGCTTGGGGCAGTGGGGCTCTGTCTGTGTGGGTTCCCTCCACGAGCTGGTCCGCATTCCCCAGCATGAGCCCTGTGTGTATGCTCCACTCAGACCCACTGTCTGCGTGCCTGGTTGATGTCGGGAAAAGCACCAATTAACTGCGTGCGAAGCAGAGCTTCCACTCTCCTCCAGATGCAGCGTCTCCTGCCATCTTCCCCATCCCCATTCCCTGGGTGGCTTGAACCAGAAACCTTCCAGTCATTCCTGACTCCCTTCCTTGCTCGTATTTCTCAACCCTCCATTAGCAGATGTTGGCTGTCTACAAGAACTGGGACTCTGCTTCCATGGCCCCCTGGGTCTGGGGTGAGGGCAGAGGAGGGACTGAGCTGTGGGAGGCACGGGAGGAGGAGTTAGCCGCTGTGGGAGGCACGTGTGGACGTGGCGGGGAGGAATGTGTGGACAGGAGGGGCTTGGGGGGCAGAAGCTGGCTGAGGAGTGGGCACTGATGTGGTTGAGAATGTCACTGAGTTTGTGGCCGGGGCCCCATTTTCTGAATGGAGCTGCAGGCTGGGTGGGGAGGGGAGCGACGCCAGATTGCTGTCCAGACGAGCCCTGTGGGTCTGCAGTGAGGAGGACGGAGCTGCCTGCTTCCCGCCAGTGTCCACGGAATGAGGGGAATCGGAGGGTCTATAAAGGGAGGGTGCCTCCCCTCACGCCTCCTGGCAGCCCGAAGAGGAGAGGATTGAACGCTCCCTCCGCGGCATGTTCCCAGAATCAGGAACTCCTTCAAGAGGTCGCCACTGTGTTGCTTCCTTTTTTCTAGATCTTAGAGAATTTGTCATTTTCTTCTTCAAGATGTTTTGCTGTCCTTCTCCGAAATTCTAAATATTGTAGGAACTCTGTATGTAGTTTTGTGGCCATACGTCCCTGGGGGACCATTGGCCCTGCGGTGGGTGCGGCGCATCTGGAAGGAGCGTGGCCGTGGCCGGGAGGCGGGTGGTGGAGCTTCGGGATGCCTGCCACCGGATGCTGTTCTTTGGGTGCTCTCTGCAGGGACCCCGCTGCCTTTGAAGAGGCTGCCGATGAGTCCTGTGGAGCCCTTTTACTGAAAAACAAAGGTGATATTGAAGTCACGAGGATGACAAATTTTGGAACATTAAAAGAAGGAGGAAGTAAAAATATGGTGGTCTGGATAGAGTAAGTTTGTCACTTAAGTTATGTTAATGAGTTTTAAATTGTGATTTAAGAATTTCTGGGGAAAAAAAGAATTCTGTAGAACCAACTTTATTTTGCCTGTTCTGTTCATTTTTTCCTTTATGGAGATCTTTTAGAAGTTTTTCACCCTAAAACATCCTTTTTACTTCTATTCATAAAGGTATTTACAATCATTTTTCACTCATAAGATTGAATTCTGTGTTTTATGGTAGCTGATTATTTTAGCTTCAGCAATCTTGTCTGTATTCATGGCTTATTTTCTTTTTCCAGGAATAAAGGAGATATTCCTCAAAACTTAGTCAGCTGTAAACTAGCTGGCTGGGATAAAGCTAAACAATTCAGATTTCAAACACCAGATAAAACCCAAACGTGCCCAGTAGGGTCTCTTGTTCCTGTTTCTGAGAAGGAGAGGAATCTTTCGGATGAAAATATTAACTCACTAGATAGCTACCAAAAACACACAACCTGTCAGGCATCAGAGAGCGGTGCGGTGAACATCACAGAAGTCTCTCCAGGTAGACGTTTCTCCTGTTACCGCGTTAGGTCAGCCGGCCGTGAGCCCTGCGGGGTCTGCGCAACAGGGCGGCCGCTGCTCCCGGGGCCCTGGGCTGGGGCGGAGTGGCCAGCGTGCTCCAGCTGGTGCGGCCGTTTGTGCGCTGTTTTGGTTCCGGGCTCTTGTCTGATGTTTTGGGACTGAAGAGAAGACAAAAATAGCTTGACCGATACCCAGACGTGCTTTAGATGTGCTGCTTCCTGTGAGTGGCTCCAGACTCGGGAAGGGCTGCCTGCTGTCCACGGGTGTTTTTGTCACCTACTGTCTGACGCTTTGTGTGTACGTGTGCGTTTCCACCAGCCTGCCACCACTGTCAGGGACCGCTTAGCTTCTGATCTAATTCTGGATTTCATTTCCGTCTCCCAGACGACTGTGCTTGTGAAGGAGAAGATGGGGACAAAGAAGAGAGGAAGCCGGGGAAGCAGGTGACAGAGCTGGAGCCCGGAGGGTTCATCCCTCCCGGTGGAAGAGCCCCGATTGTGATTGTATGTGATGCAAAGTACGTGGCTGGAGGGCTGGGAGTGAGTTTATTTTGGGGCCATTTGTATATTTGGATTTTTAGGCATCATGGGTGATTCTTTTAAGTTGGAGGTTCTAAACGTATTCCTAACTATTCTAATGAGACAAAACCGTAAGAAAAAGCACTAGTGGAGAAAATGGCTTGAGTGAGTTTACCGACCAGAGCGTTGCCTCCCCAAGCCTGACAAGCTGCCCCCCCGCCACCCGCTCACCCCAGCTTCTGACCCTCAGTCCTGTTGGAGTCCATCCACTCTCAGCCCCTTGGCCATGGCTCCTTACCTTCCCTCCGGCTCCCTCAGCTGAGGCCTTCCTGCCTCTTGTCTCCAGCTGGCCTGCTGGCTGGGTACAGGGGGCAGGGGGCTGAGACCTCCCTTCCTGGGTGGACCGCAGCTAATCCCAAGCTGCCACCACCCCACCCACCCCGGCATCTGGGTGGCAGGCCTCTTCCTTTCTCAGCAGCCCTCTACAGTTGCTAATTCTTAATCTTTTCTAAAAACGGGACTCTGGGGCGCCTGGGTGGCTCAGTCGGTGAAGCATCTGCCTTCGGCTCAAGTCGTGATCCCGAAGTCCTGAGATCAAGTCCCACATCAGGCTCCCTGCTCAGCGGGGAGCCTGCTTCTCCCTCTCCCAGTCCCCCTGCTTATATTCTCTCTCTCTCTCTCAATCTCTCTCAAATAAATAAAATATTTTTTTTAAAATGTGACTCTGATTAAACCACCACCTGCTTCAAGCCCACAGCCGTCACAGCTGGGTCAACCATTCGCACAGACCGCTCTTTAGCCAGAGCTGTGTGGTGTCACCACCTTAAATGATCTTTTAAATGTGACAGCACAGAAGTCAGTGAAAGGCAGTAGGTGAGCACAAAGTGTGGCGCCTCCGGGAGAGCCTGCCTTAGAGAAGCAGCAGGAAATTGGGCAGAAAGCAAAGTAAAAGCAGTCTATTTTTGGTAACATTACACAATTCTGATTGAAACTTGAGAACGCTGACGGTGTCTTTCCTATTCTTAAGTTTGAGAATCACAGAATAGTTGATGTGGCTGATTTTATTGTGGGAAGACATTCTTATTTTAGAAAGCTCATTTTCTCCTCTGACGAGAATTATTAAAAACTAAGGGTGACTGTGGTTTCGTGGCCGACTTTCCATACATGTACAAAGGGGAATTCTGTCGGATCTGCTTGTCTTATTTAAAATTAAATTGCTTTTTGTTTTTTCAAGGAATTCCGGCCGCTGCAAGGAGCTCCTTCTACTCTGCTTCTCCAACTTTGTAATTGGGCGGTTCCTTGAAGTGAATGTCGTAAGTGGGGAGGAGTCGCTAATAGCTGTCCGAGAACCATTTTCTTGGAAAAAGGCTAAAAGTTCCACCACATTAACATCCACAAAAACTACAGTTGTTGTGACCACACAGAAAAGGTACCGTGAGCAGAAAAGACAATGAATCCAAATGCGTGCTTGAGGTGTGTGAGAGACGTGTGGGCCATCCTGGGATAAAGCTGGGGGCAGCTGGGCGGGCGCCTCTTCCTGTCTCCGTACTTGGGGGGAGAGGTGTGTTTTCATGCGACTCCTACAGTTCTGTCTCTGAGGAGGGCCCGGCTGTGTGAGTGTGAGGACAGAACAGTAGGGCACAGCCCTCTGGGCCACCACTCCGCCCTGGCTGCTCCTGCCATGTCTCGTGTTCCCAGCAGCCCAGACACCCTGCATCTCACACAGGCACCCAGAGGCACCAGTTGGCAAGGGGTCCATAAGATGTGGCCAGTAAGCGACCACCCACACAGGGTGGTCCACGTGCTCTGTCTGCAGCTGCTAAACTGAAAAATCTCTGAAAAGCAGAATTTTTTTTAAGATTTTATTTATTTATTTGTGAGGGAGCGAGAACAGGCAGAGGGAGAAGCAGGCTCCCCACTGAGCAGGGAGCCCGATGCGGGGCTCGTTCCAGGACCCTGAGATCATGACCTGAGCCAAAGGCAGACGCTTAACGACTGAGCCACCCTGGCTTCCCTGGAATTTTTTTTTTAAGTTTGGTGCCAGAAAATCTGACCTAGGGATGGGAGGATATTTCCTGACTTTACTCTGTGATGGGAAAGCTCAGCCCTCAGCTGCGGGAACTGACAGGTTTAACTTAGGTCCTGCCCAGAATCCACTGGGGTGGTAGGTATTTCTCTTCTAATACTGGAAAATCGCGAATTTCAAATCACATTTTTCCCCAGTAACAATTCAAGGTAAGGTGTTATGGATTTCTCCTAATTTGCAGGCTAGAGAAGAAATCTGTTAGCAGAGTGTTAAGTGGTTGGCTTTGGAGTTAGATCATTGTTTGGAGCCAGCACTACCGCTCTGTGACCTTGGGCCAGTTTCAGAGCCTTTCTGAGCCCTAGTCTCATTTATAAGACGGTAGTGTCCCTCACATGGTTACGAGCATTAAAAATGTCCTTTCTGACAATGGAGCGATCAGTAGTGATCAGTAAGTCGTAAGAGCCACTGCTCATGGAAAGGGCATGCCCTGGAGATGGACCCGAGAATACGGGAGCCAGCAGTGACCACGGAAAGTCCTAAATGATTGGGTTTTAGTTACCGGAGCTTATGAGACCGCTCGGTTGTCACGTAGTGGTGTACCAGGCAACTTTCTAGTTAAAGTTTGACTTACCTAGAAAATGAACTAGACCAACAATCCCCTGATCAGCTGTTTCCCTATGTCACTGTGTGGGAGTATCTCTAAAACAGGAGATCTTGGTTTTCTGTTGTCAAGTTAGTGACCCGGAGTGCCTGTCCCGGTCGGCTTGGGTCTCCTGGAGCTCCCAGCACCTGCTTCCTGCCCTGTCTTTGCCCCCTGCCCAGAACAGCGTTGTCTGTGTGTTTGCTTAGCCAGTCTCTTGAGGACCTCTTTGTGCCAGGACCTTCTCGGCTGAATCTGACTATTCTAAGCTAGAAACAGACATGTTTTGTTAACTCAGCATGGATTTTGAGACCATGCGGTAAGACTGTTCAGGCCATTTACCCAAACGTGTGTGTAGTGATGATCCTGTCCCCTTTGTCGTGTTCATGTTAGTAATTAACACTTCACTGTCGTTTACTGAACGCCCTGCTTCCACACATACTTGACGTGTGTGCTTTGGTGGAGCCCATGACTCAGGTGGGAGGTGTTGGGCCTTCCCGATGCTGCTCGTGGTGGCTCTGGGGGCCTTTCTGCCACAGAACTTCTCTCTAAGCAGCCTTCCCATCCAGAGCTGAGCTACAGGGATATCCAGGTCAGGTGACTGTGGAGTAAGGGGGTCGGGGCTACGTGTCTCCCACCCCCTGCACTCAGTATGAGCTGGAAGCAGCAGTTAGAATGAGGGAGGGGGGCCCGTCTTCAGTGTGTGCAGGTGCGTGTAATCAGAGGTTCCCTGGACCTCCCTGGGACACGTCGCTTCTCTTCCACTATCTCTTCTCCCGCTGTTTCCTTTCCAGTCACTTCTTGTGCTGTATTAGACCTGCCCACAGCAGCAGGATGTTCTTCATCCTGACGGTGGCCAACTTTGGTGACTCCTCCCTACAGCCCTTTCTGGGGAAAGACAGAAGCCTGAGGGTGAAACCGAATTTCCCCGGAGAAACTCCAGGCTGAAAAGCAAGAAGGCAGGACCCAGACAGCAGCCTTTACCGAATGTGTTCTGCATTCCTGCGGGAGTGGTTCTGATGTTCTAGGCTCATAGCGGCAGTAGGAGTTAGCGGGGTGGGAGTTCAGGAACAGTGCTTTTCAGACTCACTGGTTCTGCGGGATTCTTGGGCGCGGCAGCCCTGCCCGCCTGTTGGAGGGCACAAGAGGGCCCTGTGAGAGCCGGTGTGGGGGAGGGATCCCAAAGCAGCTGAAGTAAGTTTGCAAGGTCCAGACTGACACTAGCAGTTCACATTTATTTTTGGTTCTTTAAGGACCTTTAGTCTTTCCGAAGCGGGAAGGATGTCTGAGTAAAAATGGCTTGTATGAGACACGGGGTGATTAAGAATTTTGACTTGTGCAATTTTTTTTTTTTTTAAGGAACTCAAGACGACAACTTCCAAGTTTTCTTCCACAGTATCCAATACCAGATAGACTTAAGAAATGTGTGGAACAAAAAATTGACATTCTGACTTTTCAGCCATTACTCGCAGAGGTAGGAAATATATCTGATGTGAAACATTCTTCGCCACACTTGAGTGTTTCCTGATGAAATGAGGATGAACCCCGCTTGGGCTCAGACCTCGGACTGGTTTGTTTTTACCACAGGTAGCTGGGAATATCAGGTCAGTGAGAGAGAGGGACCACTGCTGTTGACACTGCTTGGGGGGAACCCCACTGCCCCCCCGCCCAGCCTGTCTGTGCTAGGCTGGCGGCCTGCCTCTGAATGGCTGTCTGTCCGGGATAAAACTCTGAGCCACTGAGAAGACAGGACGTGGGGTCTCAGTCCTCTTTAGTTAAGTTTAGCTAGGGAGCCACATGTGGAGAGTGGGGTTTGGGCAGCACAGGTGTGGGGCGTCACAGTCTGAGGGATGCTCTAACGTGCCCAAGGGACGAGACCCCCACCGTGGCACCTTCCAGTTCTCTTTCCTTGGACTTTTTGCTGGTGTCATAAATTTGGCTTCTACATATGTTTTGAATTCCATGCTGCATTTTACCGTTTTTGCATTACATTCATGTAATCAGTTATCTCTTAAAGGCATTTTAAAAGCTAAGTCTTTTTTTTTTTTTTAAAGATTTTATTTATTTGACAGACACAGTGAGAGAAGGAACACAAGCAGGGGGAGGGTCAGCGGGAGAAGCAGACTCCCCGCCAAGCAGGGAGCCCGATGCGGGACTCGATCCAGGGACTCCAGGATCATGACCTGAGCCGAAGGCAGCCGCTCAACCGACTGAGCCACCCAGGCACCCAAGCTGTCTTTTTTGACACCACGTAGTTAGCAACCTTGGTGCTGTGCCCGTCACTCCTTCGTGGGGACCCAGGCTCCCGTGGGGCCCTTGTGCTGAGCAGCAGGGGCCTCTGTGGTGCTTGGGTGCCAGCAGTCAGTTCTTTCAGCTCCTCTATGTCTGGGGAAGTATTCTGCCTCCGTTTTTGAAGGACATTTTGACTGGGTCTTGAATTCTAGGCTGGAATTTTATTTTATTTTATTATTTTTATTT